GATCTCGGCTCACCGCAACCTCCGCCTCCTGGGTTCAGGCAATTCTCCTGCCTCAGCCTCCTGAGTAGCTGGGATTACAGGCACGCGCCACCATGCCCAGCTAATTTTTTGTACTTTTAGTAGAGACGGGGTTTCACCACGTTGACCAGGATGGTCTCGATCTCTTGACCTCGTGATCCACCCGCCTCGGCCTCCCAAAGTACTGGGATTACAGGCTTGAGCCACCGCGCCCGGCCGCTAAAACTGTTTTAAAATCTGGTAATCTTGGATACTTCTGTCCTCTGATCTGGTCCTTTTTCTTCCTATTTACAATATTGGGCATCTTAATATCAAAAACCTAAATATGATCAATAGCATAGACAAAGTAAAACTAGCCTGGTTAGATTACCAATCTGGAGTTTCAGTTCCAAAGTAAATATTTAGCACTGTGATTCTCTGGTGAAGACTGTGGACTGTCACCAAACCAAGTAGCTTATCAGCAACACCTGCTCCAGACTTCTGTATGCTCTTCATAACTGTTCATCAATAGATACTACATAGAATCTGGACTTTTCAAGCTAAAGATGAAAGAGCATTGTACCTTTTATACTATATACCCTATTTACTTTTAATGTTTATTAGCTTACACAAAAGTAGACAAAAGTATACGAACCTATGTACTCACCCAACCTCAATGATCTATAGTAAACTTTTGTCATCTATACCCTCTTCTCCTTATCACCGCATTTTAAAGCAAATTCCAGATATTTCATCTATATATAGTATACATGTTTTTAAAAAGTACTCCTAAGAAAATGCCATTACAGGGCTGGGTGCAGTGGCTCACACCTATAATCTCAACACTTTGGGAGGCCAAGGCAGGCAGATCACCCAAGGTCCGGAGTTCGAGACCAGCCTGGCCAACATAGTGAAACCGTGTCTTTACTAAAAATACAAAAATTAGTTGGGCGTGGTGGTGGGTGCTTGTAATTCCAGCTACTCAGGAAGCTGAGGTAGGAGAATCGCTTGAACCCTGGAGGTGGAGGTTGCAGTGAGCCAAGACTTGTGCCATTATACTCCAGCCTCAGCGACAGAGTGAGACTGTCTCAGAAAAACAAACAAACAAAAAAAAACCATTACTCTTAGAAATTAACTTATTTTCAGAAGACTTCTTAAGGCAAGGCGTGGTGGCTCATGTCTGTAATCCCAACACTTCAGGAAGCCTAGGATGAGGCTGAAGGAGGAGGACTGCCTGAGCCCAAGAGTTTGAGACTAGCCAGGGCAAAACAGTGAGACCCCCTCTCTCTCCAAACAATTACAAAAATTAGCTGAGTGTGGTGGTATATAACTATAGTCCCAGGTACTCAGGAGGGTGAGACGGATCACTTGAGCCCAGGAGTTTCAGATTGTAGTGAGCTATGAAAGCACCACTAAGCTCCAGCCTGGATGTCAGAGGAAGACAATCTCTTAAATAAAAAAGGCCAGGCATGGTGGCTCACACCTGTAATCCCTCCACTTTGGGAGGCCAAGGCAGGAGGATCACCTGAGATCAGGAGTTCGAGACCAGTCTGGCCAATAAGGTGAAACCCCATCTCTACTAATACAAAATTAGCCAGGTGTGGTGGCGGGTACCTAGGGTGGTGAGGTGACAAGGCTAAGGTAGGAGAATCACTTGAACCTGGGAGGTGGAGGTTGCAGTGAGCCAAGATCACACCACTTCACAGCAGCTTGGGCAACAAGAGTGAGACTCCATCTCAAAAAAAAAAAAAAGATTCCTTATTTGCATCTACCACTGAGTCTGTTCCAAGTTAAATTGTCTAATTAATGTCCTAAAAATTGGCTATTAGCTGGGTGTGGTGGCTGACACATGCAATCCCAAAACTTCAGGAGGTTGAGGCGGGTGGATCATTTGATGTCAAGAGTTTGAGACCAGTCTGGCCAACATGGTAAAACTCTGTCTCTATTAAAAATACAAAATTTAGCTGGGTGCTGTGGCATGCGCCTGTAGTCCCAGCTATTTGGGAGGCTGAGGCTGGAGAATTGCTTGAGCCCAGGAGCTAGAGGTTGCAGTGAGTCAAGGTCGCGCCATTACACTACAAGCTGAGAGTGAAACTCTTGTGTCAAAAAAACAAACAAATAATTAATTAAAATAAATTGGCTTTTAAATGTAGAATCAAAAGTCTGTATGTCACATTTGGATCATATATTTCTTAATTCTTATTTAATTTACAATAGTTCTCCTTCCCTACCCTCTTCTTGACATTTATTGTTGTGATCTAGACTTCTAACACTTGTCTAAAAGCACTAACTGTTCAAGCAGACTTTGGAAATGGTTTTCATCAGAGCTATGGACTCAACAGTCTTGCAGGACTGTCCTGCAAAAAGCTCACATAGGCATGGCAGACAGAAGGGGATCACGAGATACCAATCATGGAGATGTTACACCATCTGCCCTTTTGCAAAACCCCAGAGGCACAAAATAGAGTAAATCACCACAGATCAATCCAGGTTGGTTCCTACCAGCAAGAAGCCACACAGTTGCCAGCTACCCTGATGAAACTTTTCTGCTAATCACCAAGTTGACTCCAAGGAGGAAATCACACTTAGTTTCTGTGGCCAAACTAAAACACCACACAAGATTGTTTATGCCAATAATCTCAACTCTGGCTGCTCATTAGAATCACCTGGGTAGCTCTGGTAACATGCAAGTAAATCAGAATTCCCTTGAGTGCTACATAAGCGCATACTACAAACAACTATCACAGCAATAACATAAGTCATCATAAGTCCTCAAAAACTGGTACAGTCACTGGTACTGCCTACCACACAGACCTGGATATCTACAACAGGGAGCTCCAAACATCCTTTGGGAGAAACATAATACATTTTCTATAACTCTGTCTCCTGCCCCAAACCGCTTCATAAAACCAAAGCAAACAATGCTACCATTTCTCTAGCTGTGCTAATAGTGCTAGCAGACTCAAAGGACTCATAACTGGGAAACTATGTTAAAACACAGAAAGTCCTAATCAGTTTGACACCTTTAAAACAAAACCTTATAGGAGATAAGATGATTTTCTTTTGGCATTCACAGGCAATATCAAATCTAAGTCATTCATTACTCACCTTATCAAAAAATAATGATTCTGTTCCACCACCGTGTTTGCTGGCATCTGCCATAGAAGAATCCTTTAGATTGAGGAGTTTGGGTTTCTTCTGCAAAAGAAGATACAAACATGTGACGTTCGAAGAGTGGTTTTCTCTGAATTTTATTTTTGTCTGTGTTCAATGGCTTCATCACTAAAACCACTGATTAATAATTTGAAACAAATGAGAGAACTCTCACCAACTCACTCCATAACCTCAAAGATTTCTACTCATAGTTTCTATTTCAGTTTGCCTGTTATGTTTCTTTCTCCAACAGTTTCAAAGATCATTCTACCCCCCACAAATATTCTCTCCAGAAATGATCATGGCATTACTGTGACAAACTTTTGGAATATCCTTTTTTCTAGAGGCCCAAAGTACTTTGTTCAGAATCTAATGCCGCTGTTTTCCTACCAGTTGAGGGAGAAGAGGCTACCTGTAAAAAGAACTGGTGCACATGGCCTGAAATTGGCAGAAACCAATCTTTAACAATGAATAATATTTCAATTAAAAAGTTATTTAAAAAGCATAATTTTTCTAATAGAAGAAATATGTATCAGCAATATCCACCTCAGACTAATTTAATATTGTTCTTTTAAAGGGAACCAATAGGCCATGCTATAACGCTGTCAGGCAAGAAGTTACTCTTAACATCCACTACTTAACTCCCGATGAGAAAATGCACAAACTTTGTGAAAAGTAGCACATTTATTTACCCTGACTGTCTTAAAGTATACTTTCTTACTTGCCACAGCCTCTGCTTACACTGCCTACTGAGAAAGTAGGTGGAGAATTACAAGCCCCCACTAGATTCTTTACACCTGCAGGTAATCAAGATTGGGAGTATATAAATCCAAGCATGGAGGATATCTACTGAGCTGATTCTTGCTACCCATATAACTAATTCTCTTTACTGAAGTGAATAGAAACATTATGTTCAACTTGCTTTCAAAAGAAGAAACTATTACAAACACTAATGAATAGGATACTTCAAAAGTATTAGTAACACCTAATATATCAGATCTTATAGTCAGTCACTTACTATTCATCAGTCACCTCTTACTGTATCTCTTCCATATTACACACTGCTTTGAAATTCACTGAAGAATTCAACATTCAATACATACAACTAGCCTTTTCCCTATCATAGCTGTGTCACATCAAAGAAGGGAGTAAGCAGAGCTTCCTGCAGGCAGACCATCAGTGTTAACTATAACAAAAAACATCATGTAATTGATTACTAGCAGGAGTTTAAGACTTCTCTCTGCTATAGTCCAAAGGTCCTGCCTTGGAGATTGAGATGATACAGATAACATCTGGTAACCCAACAAAGAACTCTGAGCAGGACAGGCTTCTAGACCAAAGAGATCTCACAAAGCACATGCACTCTACTCAAGAGGACCTCAGAGATCACTCATTTCTGAAATTCTCAAGAATCTTCTTTCTTAACACAAGGCAGCTTTAAAGCCTCAAATAAGAAGGGGCCAGGCGTGGTAGCCTGTAATCCCAGCACTTTGGCAGGCCAAGGCAGGTGAATCACCTGAGGTCAGGAGTTCAAGACCCGCCTCGCCAACATGGCAAAACCCTATCTCTGCTAAAGATACAAAAATTAGCTAGGCGTTGTGGCACATGCCTGTAGTCCCAGTTACTTGGGAGGCTGAGGCAGGAAGATTGCTTGAACACAAGAGGCACAGTTTGTAGTGAGCTGAGATTGCGCCATTGCACTCCAGCCTGGGCAACACAGAGCGACTCCATCTCCGAAAAAATAAAAAAATTAGCAGGGTATAGTGGCCCACACCTGTAGTCCTACTTATTCAGGAGCCTAAGGCAGGAGGATCACTTGAGCCCAGGAGGCGGAGGCTGCAGTGAGCCGAGATCGCGCCATTGCACTCCAGCCTGGGTAACAAGAAAAAAAAAAAAAAAAGAAGAAGGGAAAATTATTTTAAGTCTTAGATTAGTAGCAACCAAAACATTAAAGAAATGACAGCTGACTGCAAAAGAGATAGTACAGAACTCAAAAAAGTACAGTAATCCAAGCAATCAATGTTATTGTTAATACTCTTTTGCAAAGCCAGATAAACTGTGCACTGAGTTTCCGTGACATGTACTAACTTGCTCCAAGCATCTAGGATCCAACTGTTAACGCACTTAAAAACACACGACCACCTCTAGAGTACTTGTCCACTACAATGGCTTGTGAGCGTCAAAATGAGCAGCTGCTGCCCATTCTCACCTTAACTGGAGGAGTGGTTCCTGTAGGGTGTCTGCGGATCTGGCAGCCATTCTGGCTAGGCCTCTGCGGCTTGTTGTTCAGTTGGGGCTTCTTGACAGTGCCTCCATGATCATTTCTCACAGAATCAACCTTCTCAGCAGTTGTTTTGCTTAAAAGCTGATTAAGACACATGAAAGAGATTAATGCTCTTATCAAAACAAATAAATATCATCTAGGAAAAGTCCCTTTCTGAGTGCAGTTTTCCAATTTATCTAAGATGATAATCTTAAATAGTGTAATTCTTCTAAATAAAACGTACCACGGAGCTGTTGGCATCTGGTAGGAATTGTCCAAACTCTGACAACAAATCTTCCTGGTTTTTAAAGAGACGAGCCACCTGGGCATACACCTCTTGCTCTGTCAATGCTGGAGTGTAGTTTCCTCCAGCTTCCTTGGCATTTCTCTGCTCTTTCTGAGGAATTGCAAATGAAAAGAGATCATATTAAAGGGCCACTGTTTTGAGTCCTTCATCTGTGCACACTTTCTGGAATCACTGTTGTCTACTTAGGCTGCATGTAAGAAGAAAGTCTATATTCTTAGCACCCATTTTGAGCACAGACTTTCAAGTTGAGAAAAAAGTAGAAGACGGTGGATGATAATTCCTTTCAAAACTAGGGCAGTAAATTTTTGGGGGTCAGTTTCACTCTTGTTGCCCAGGATGGAGTGAACTTTCTTGGCCTCTCAAAGTGCTGGGACTACAGGTGTGAGTTACCATGCCCGGCCTGGGACAGTAAATATTAATGCCCAGGGGACCACTACTAACTTACAAAACCTTCAAGAAATTTCTCCTCCTCCTACTGCAGATTAACTAGACTATACAAATCACCATCTAACTGTCCCAGATAAAATAGGGCTTCATTTCATGGGCCGGTGACTTTAAAAACCCTGACTAAGGCTGGGCATCATGGCTCACACCTGTAATCCCAGCACTGTGGGAGGCCAAGGAGGGAGGATCACCTGAGGTGAGGAATTGTAGACCAGCCTGGCCAACATGTTGAAACAACGTCTCTACTAAAAGTACAAGAATCACTTGAACCCAGGAGGTGGAGGCTGGAGTAGGCCAACATCACGCCATTGCACTCCAGCCTAGACTAAAAGGGTGAAACTCTGTCTCAAAAAAAATTAAAAATCCTGACTGAATGTTGCAGGGCAATCAAGTCAACAAATAAAACTGGCTTTATAGGCTGGGCGTGGTGGCTCACGCCTGTAATCCCAACACCTTGGGAGGCCAAGGCGGGCAGATCATGAGGTCAGGAGATCGAGACCAGCCTGGCCAACACAGTGAAACCCCGTCTCTACTAAAAATACAAAAAATTAGCCGGGCATGGTGGCGGATGCCTGTAATCTCAGCTTCTACGGAGGCTGAGGCAGGAGAATCGCATGAACCTGGGAGGCGGAGGTTGCAGTGAGCCAAGATTGCACCACTGCACTCCCGCTCAGGCAACAGTGAATGACTCTGCCTCAAAAACAAAACAAAACAAAACAAAAAATGGCTTTATAAACACAAATGATAGTTTCTATCTGGTTAATTTCCAGTATGAATTAGTGGACATAATAACGATTACTTAAGTTGTTCTTGGACTAGATGACCTAAGAGGGTAGCCTGGTTAAGACAGGCTGAACGGGCACTCCTCTTACCTGATATGTGTGCAAAATCTCCAGGAACGCTTTGTAGATGTCTGGTTGGCCCTGGAATCTGTTCTTGATCTTATTAACATAGTTGATAGCATGATTAAACTCCACAGGTTGATTGTTCTGCAAGGATGGGGCTGTTCCCAACGAGATTGTCACTGGTGTGTGAGGCTGGACCGGCGGAGAACGTGGGGATGCATATGGTGGAAGTGGGGGAGTCTGCTGACTGGCTGGAGTATGTGCTTGTAGTTGGGAAGGCTAAAAAGAAAAAAAGTCTTTATTCTCCTCAGGTGCATAGATGAGTTGATACAGGGAAAGTTCAAACTAAAAGAAAAACAAGGTGTCAACTTATATCCTTTATTTACTCACTCAGGCTAGGCCATTTTAATCCAACACAAATCACACTGGGCAGCAGTGAGAGTTGTAGGGGGTTCAAACATGCTGATACAAATATCTCAGTCTTGCATTTTCTAAAAAAAAAAACCTTAAAACTGGTGCCATCTCCAATTATAGAGAAGAATTTTTCATATGCAATGTTTAAGCTTAGTAGCTCAACAAGTACAAACAGAAAAACAATCTCATTCTACATAGCCTTTTGATGTCAAAAAAAAAAGACACCTCAATTGTTGTAGTAGCTCCACATAAAAAAGTCTTCTACACCAACTCTGTCCTGTAGAACTGAGATGATGGAAATGTCCTTTATTTGCACTGTCTTACATAGCCACTAGCCACATGTAGTTACTGAGCACTTGAAAGCTAGTGCAACTGAAAAATTGAATTTAATTTAAATTTAAATAGTCTTACGTGGCCAGTGGCTACTGTGTCATATACAGTGTGGTTCTAGACAAAAAACACCCCATCTTCATCATCATCATCACCATGATTGTTCATTACACCTTCTGCTTAGCTTGATATAATCTGGTAAGTGAAATAACTTTCATAAAATGATAACCACGTGGACAGTAGCAAAATTTGACCACGGTAAGATGGTTTCTGTCTGTGCTGTCAATTACTGTTATACAAAGTCGCTACCTGTTGGGATGTACATGGTTTTATAAGCAGAAACTGTAAAGACAAAAACCTTGAAAGTTGTCGTTGTGTTGATTTAAACAGATACCTAAGTAAGTGGTGTGTCAATGTGAACCATGTCATAGTGAAGTGACTACTGCATTTTCTCTGATGAATCTTTGTAACCTTGTGTCTCAGTATCTAAGTTCTATATAAAAGGGAAATGTCAAAGGAAAATGCTTTCTAGGGATGCATTCACATTGATGCAATATTTTCTAAGTGCTCACCTTGCTGACTTTGGCAGGTGGGGGCTGAGGAGCTGGCTGGGCAGGAGCTGGGGCTGACTGGGCTGAAGGCTGGGAAGGATGTTGGGGTGGTGGTTGAGGCTGGGGCTGGATGCCATGGGTGGGAATCTGATGAACCTGGCCAGGAGTTGTCACATTCACCATGTCATTGGTTTGCACCTCAATTTTGTAGCCAGGGGGCAAGAAGGTGTTGAATCCCATTATCAGGTCAGGGTGGCCTTTGAATAGCTGGGACACACGACTAATCACTCCTGGAGTGTCGATGCTGATAAAAAACAAAAAGAAAAGTGATGGACTGCAAGCTCAACAAACACCCGTAAGAAAAAAATTTCACTTTTTTTTTTTTGAGACAGGGTCTCGCTCTGTTGCACAGGCTGAAGTGCAGTGGCACGATCTTGGTTCACTGCAACCTCCACCTCCCAGGTTTAATCAATTCTCCACCTCAGCCTCCTGAGTAGCTGGGGTTACAGGTGTGTATCACCATGTCCGGCTAATTTTTTTGTATTTTTTGTAGAGACGGGTTTTTCCCCTCTTGGCCGGGCTGGTATTGAACTCCTGACCTCTTGAGCCACCTGCCTCGGCCTCCAAAGTGCTGGGATTACAGGCGTGAGCCACCATGCCCAGCGTTTTTTTTTTTTTTTTTATTTTTTTTTGTAGAGATGGAGTCTCACTCTGTTGCCCAGACTGGAGTGCACTGGTACGAACTTGGCTCACTGCAACTTCTGCCTCCTGAGTAGCTGGGATTACAGGCATGTGCCACTAGGCCTGGCTAATTTTTGTATTTTTGGTAGAGACGGGGTTTCCACATGTTGGCCAGGCTGGTCTCAAACTCCTGACCTCAGGTGATCTGCCCACTTCAGCCTCCCAAAGTGCTGGGATTACAGGTGTGAGCCACCTCACCCAGCCAAAATTTCACTTTCTATTAGGTTTTCTCTAAATAGGAAAACAGATAAACAATCTACACATTACAAAATTAACATGCAAAAAGCTCTGAAATTCCAAAGCCATTTTGCTTTAGACTCAAAGATACTTGGCCACATTGTTTTTTTTTGTTCTGTTTTATTTTTTGAGATAGTCTTATTCTGTTGCCCAGGCTGGAGTGCAGTGTTACAATCTCGACTCAAGGCAGCCTCCGCCTCCCGAGTTTAAGAAATTCTCCTGCCTCAGCCTCCCAACTAGCTGGGATTACAGGCACCCGCCACCACGCCCAGCTAACTTTTGTATTGGTCAAAATTTTGAACAGAATATACACTCGTGGTAACAATCCCACCAAGCAGACATGCAGACAATATACATAAAGCTACAAATCCCACATAAGATTCCATCTTTGATATACCAGTATACATCATTTCAGCACACATCTGCATTGTTCAGATGAGTTACACTCTTACATCAGTGAAGCATGCCAGAATATAAACCAATTCAAAAACCAAGTAGCCTAAATCATTACCAGTGCTACTTCCCTGATGGAGACAAGGCACTGGACAAAATTTAGTTAAGAAAAATTTACCAATAGGGACAAAAATGTCTAGTGGCCATAATTCCCATCAATAAAGGAATGCGTAAAATAAAGACATGATTTGGAAAATTCAGCCCCAAAAAGGAGCATCCTTTATCTTCCAGTAAATAAACTATATCCTCTTCCTTCCAAAATCAACATGTCAGACACAAAGGTCGAGTACAATGACACATCTTTTACCTCTGCGATTTAAATTCCTTCATGATGTCAAGGAAATCGTTGTAGACCTGAGGCTGACTACCAAACTGCAGTTTCACCTGGTCAAGATAGGACAGTGCGTCTTCCACCTGAAGCAGGGATAAATATCAAGGTTATAAAAAGAAAATAAGCTAACAATTATAAAAAAAAAAAACAAAAAACAAAAAACAAAAACAAATTATTTATGCCTAAATATGCTAACACAGTAAGTGAAATAAAAACGTCTTAAACATATACTTAAAAGTTAGTATGGATGCCAATTATAAACTCAAGCTTAACATACTCATAAAACCTGTAGCCTTGTCTTGGATTATTTTGAACAGAATGATCATTGCAGAATAACTGATATATCACTGATTCATTACACAAGCCTCTACTAAAATACAACATGCATGGCCCAAAGCAGGTACCAAGGATTCAATGAAAAATAATTTGTAGCCCCCTCGTCTATAGACATTTGTTCTTATCTAGTTGGGAACCATAACACAGCGGGTAACGTGGTAATCACTCAATGCCTGGCGATGACATGGGAAGGACATGTCTTCCCCACCAAAATAAGTGAGGCTTCCCTAGGAGATAATGTGTAAACTGAGACCTAAAGATGAGTATAAGCTAACAAAAGTGAAGACCAGTGGAGAAAATCAAAGAAAGCAGCATGGACAAAATCCTAGACAGGATACCATATGAGATACTTGAAATCTGAAAAGAGTTTAGTTTGGCTGGAGGATCTGTAGTGAAAAGTACTGGAAGGAAAAGTAACAAGAGATGAGACAAAAAAAAGCATGATCTAGATTCTGAAAGGACTTGTGAATCTTGTGAAAAAGCAATTTACATTTTTATCGTCTGCATTTTTGTGTAGTCAATTTGACTTCAGTGTTGAGAAAAAAATTGGCAGAGGAGCAGAAAAGATTGAAAGAAGGTAGGAAGACCAGTTATGCTACAGGAGTAACTGGACAACTCATGTGAAAACAGTGGCTTGAATTATAGTACTGGCCCAGAACAACAGAAAAGTGCACAGATAAAAAAGCTTTTTGGCTAGTAGAAGTAACAGAATTGGGGAACTGAATGAATACGGGAGCTAAGGGAGAGCCAGCATTCAAAAGTGATCCACCACAGAGCAGTGTGAGGAAGAAGGGGTGAGAGTGACTCCCGGACTGATCAAAGCCAGCACACGCTACACCCTGCACCCAGCACTTACATCCCGCTGCATCAAGACCGACGCCAAGAGAAAGCCTGAAGGGGATGCTGAAGGGGACAGAGACAAGGTGAAGAATGAACTAGAGAAGATCCGCAAGGTTGTCTGCTAAACCTGATCCTTCAAAGCCCTAGCCCAACCCTAAAAAGGCCCCACACAAAGAAAAGAGAAGCGGTACCCAAAGAGAAAAAAGAAAATGCTGACACTGACAGGGAGGGAAATAACCTTGCAGAAAATGGAGATGCCAAAACAGACCAGGCACAGAAAGCTGAAGGTGCTGGAGATGCCAAGTGAAATGTGTGCATTTTTGGTAACTGCACTTCTGGTAACTGGAAAATTTGAACTATAATTATGAAGTGTATAAATTTTGAAATACCATTATTTAAATCAAGCTTTATAAAAATGCAGAGTTTTGCTTTTTTTAATGCTATGTTGTTAGCACACAGAACATTGCATTGGTGTTTTGGAGGGAAGGATCACAGGTCACTAACAGAGTGTCTTTGAAGCTGGATTGATGTGAGGAAAACACCTTTCCCTTCTAGTTTTGAGAGACTTCCTTTGGCTTACAGAAGAGATTCCCTAATTTTATTTATTTATTATTTTTGAGACAGAATTTTGATCTTGTTGCCCAGGCTGGAGTGCAGTGGCGTGATCTCAGCTAAATGTAACCTCTGCCTCCCGGGTTCAAGTGACTTTCTTGCCTCAGCCTCCCAAGTAGCTGGGATTACAGGCGCCTGTCATCACACCTAGCTAATTTTTGTATCTTTCGTAGAGACAGGGTTTCACCATGTTGGCCAGGCTGGTCTCGAACTCCTGAACACAAGTGATCCAGATCCACCTCCCTCAGCCTCCCAAAGTCCTGGGATTATAGGCGTGGGCCACCACACCTGGCCTAGATTCCCTGACTTTTGACACACATGGCCACCTTGGCACAAACACCTCGTGGGATGGAAAACCAAATTCATTTTTATGTCCTGTTCTCCCTTCCCACCTTCAGCATAGATTTAACTCCCTTATGCTCAGACACCTATTGGGACCTAACCCCAAATAACTGGTTACCAGTGTGTCAGGCAATCAAACTTTCCAGTGATGCCACTGAGATGGCGGCCCTCAAGAGCAGTGGTTCCTTTTCTAGACTGTGGGATCTTCAGAAAAATCCTGCCATTTTCATTTTACTTCCCGAAAATCAGGGTCAGCTCATGAAAAGTTGTTAAACAACGTGCTAAATGTGAAATGTCAACCTTCACTCTAAACTTGCCCTGTTCAGAGCATCAAATGAAGACTTCATTGGGTTTTATAGTGGATTTTTGGTTTTTTGGTAGCTCATTGTTAAGGATTGTCTGTCCATGTCCTGCCTGAAATACCGTGATTGCGCGTGGGAAGTACTTTAATATAAAGTTTGATACAGTTTGGCTTGGGGAGAATAAAAGTGACCTATCACAAAGAACAGGTTGGAAAAGGCTAAGCTATGAGTCTGATTTAGGAGAGAGACACCCAAAGGAAATGCCCACTAGGTGTTTCCTATATACTCTGAGATGAATAAAGTTTTTTTGGTAGTTTAATTGAAGTCTAAATGTTTCAAATTACACAAAATATCAGGTATAAGAAACTTCAGAAATAAACATTTGATGTGATATAAGCAATTCTTTCTCTTTTTTTTTTGAGACAGAGTCTCGCCTTGTCTCCCAGGCTGGAGTGCAATGGAGCACTCCAGCTCACTTGGCTCACTGCAACTTCTGCCTCCTGGGTTCAAGCGGTTCTCCCGTCTCAGCCTCCCGAGTAGCTGGGATTACAGGCGCCATGTCACCTCATCCGGCTATTTTTTTGTATTTTTAGTAGAGATGGGGTTTCACCCTGTTGGGCAGGCTGGTCTTGAACTACTGATCTCAAGTGATCCGCCTGCCACAGCCTCCCAAAGTGCTGGATTACAGGTGTGAACCAGCCAGCCAGAGATAGTCTTTCAATATGTTGCAAAATGGAACATTTACATTCAAATCAATCAGTAACTGGTGCTATGGTCTGAATGTGTTCCCCAAAATTCTTAAGTTGAAAATTACCAATGTGATATTAAGAAGTGAGGCCTTCAGAAAGTGACTATGGAGCCCTCATGAATGGGATTAGGGACCTTATAAAAGGGCTGGAGTGAACTAGTGTTTGTCCCTTTGGCCTTTCACAGTGTGAGGACAGAGCATTCAGGCACCATCTTGGAAGCGGAGTTCAGGCCCTGACCAGACACGAAACCAACTTAATTTTATTTATCTATTTTTTTTTTTGAGATAGGGTCTTACTCTGTCACCCAGGCTGGAGTGCAGTGGCACAATCTCAGCTCACTGCAACCTCCACCTCCTAGAGTCAAGAGATTCTCCTGTCTCAGCCTCCAGAGTAGCTGGGATAACAGGAGCGCCGCCATGTCTGGCTCATTTTTTTGTATTTTTAGTAGAGACATGGTTTCACCATGTTGGCTAGGCTGGTCTTAAACTCCTGACCTCTAATGATCCACCTACCTCAGCTTCCCAAAGTGCTGGTATTACAGATGTGAGATACTGTACCCAGCCAGCACCTTAATTTTAGATTTCCCAGCCCCTGGAACTTCTCTAGAACTGTGAGAAATAAACTTTTATTATTTAGAAATAGATTACTCAGTCTCAGGTATTTTGTTTTAGCAACACTAATGGATTAAGACAAATGGCTCTTCTTCAGACTTCCATTATGGCCATGGTTAATCAGTGTTTCAGTGTTGCTCGAAATCAGATGGTTTCAATACCCACTTGTTTGATGGTTAGTTTTTCTATACAAATATGACAATTTCTGTTGAAATTCAATGGACTATTTACTTCATATTCTAAACTTTCCATACTGTAATGTTTCATTAATAAATGACCAACTTAAGTGAACACAAAATGCATTAAGTTTGCAAAAGGAACCAGGATTTTGGAAGATATTTAAGAATAGCATGCATCTTTATGACAAAAGAAGAGTTATCAATAAGACATGATATAAGGTAACTACTGCAGAGAGGGGAAAAGTACAGAAAACAAAAGAAAGCATTTATGTGTGATACATGTATGTGTGAAAGAAAAAGGTACTGAAAGTCACAGCAAACCACTGTTTAAAAATTAGTTATAGGAAAGGCCGGGCGCGGTGGCTCAAGCCTGTAATCCCAGCACTTTGGGAGGCTGTGGCGGGTGGATCACGAGGTCAAGAAATCGAGACCATCCTGGTCAACATGGTGAAACCCCGTCTCTACTAAAAATACAAAAA